AATGACATCATTCGAGTAGCTTTAATCATGTGACACACTAGTACTCCATTTCTCAATCTGGTATTGATAACTATAGTATTGTTCTGTCAGATGTGGCTGATATCAGCCATGAAAATTACCTATGCCAGTCTTTCGAAGTATATCATGCCGACCAGTAAGAACTAGTATGAAGGGAAAGGATTTGCGTTGCAGATTGCTTGCTATTCCCATTATAAAATTAACTCGTCCAAGAGTACTTGCTTTCACACTGGAGCTGCACGACCAGAATCGGTAAGGGAAGCTATCGATTACTGGTGTTCAGTATTACCCATGCGTCCTGTATTTGACCTCCATCTATGTTGCAGAGCAGGTATTCATTTTGTGGATCATCGTGTAACAGGGGTAGCTGTAAGAGACGAGTTACACTCTGTTACATTCACGTTCAAGTGCCTTAGGGTACCATTAACCTAACACTCTAATTGACTTGCAGATGTGTTTTTGATTTGCATAACTATTGATATCTTTGGCTGCAATGAGAATCGGAGGAGGAAATAATTACAGCACCTTTTTCAGTAGCATGCAGAAGTGTGATGGTAATCGGATCGGTTATCTTAGAACTGACACCATCAGTGGGAATAAGCGGAGCACATTTTGCCTCGACATTTGCAAGTAAAGTAGCTTTCGGATGCATCGCTGTTCTTTCTTTCATGGACATCCTGTCGCAGCTTTTAAGGCAGTGCGTAGATTCTCATGTCTCTGTGAAAGTTTTTCACAATCCCATTTGTTACGTTTCACTGTGTAGCAGGACACATCGCCCCAGTATAGAGTAGCAAACACCTTATAGCCAGTCTTCCTGTCCTTCTGTTTAGGTTTACCTTTTGCTTACAATGTTCCACTCTCTGTTGTGCAGACTTGGCCATTGAGTGTCGCAGCCCTGACCAATCGTATCACGAGGGAAGGCGCCAGTACCGGTGTCGTATGTGCGCATATAGCACACCGCACGCCTGTAGCATGAAGTACCACCAAAGAATGCACATGGGAGTGCGTCCGTATAAGTGCAACTACTGCGGCAAGGACTTCATACAGAAGTGCCACCTGGTCCCGCACCTGCGCATCCACACTGGCGAGAAACCCTACCAGTGCCAGTTTTGCCCCATGAATTTCGCGCAGCATAACAACCTTACACGCCACTTGAAAACTCACCGAGGCAGAAAGCTCTTGTCTGGTGGTGTCTGTGTGTCAACTTTAACGGAAGCAGCTGAGAAGATGTGTTTCATGTAGTCCTGTAATTGGAAATGTGTCATTAGAAAGGCTAACGTTGAGACCATATAGCTGCACATGGCCATTGTCAAATGTGACACTGTGCTGCTTAACAATAGAAAAGATGTGTGCGACACTGGGACAAGTGAAAACAAGGCTCCTATATTGATACCTATGTCCATTTGGCTAAATGTGTGCTATGTGCAAGCAAGTGTACAATCCGAGCCACATTTTTTGCACATCCGGAAGTAGTATTGACTATGTTATTGGTGAACTACCATTTGCCTTGGTAAAGTGCTTTCAGAACCCGTCACTTCGTGTTTTGCCTCAACAGCCTTGCATATCATGTTTTATTTGTGCCTTCCCTATCTGTATGACTAGGTTTGTGGTTTCGTTTGAGACAGACCTAATGCCCTTCACTTTTCTCTGATCTGTTTATGGAGCAGCTAGCTGCATATTGATTTGCTATTGAAGGGTCGACGTATATTCTTCAGGTACCTTCGATTTTTATGAGAGAAGTGTGTAGCTCACAGGATGTGTTGGCATAAAATGCTCTGCTTCATTCTGTTCCTACGTATAACATGCCTTGGTGACAAATTTTTAGGCTGCTATTGGAACATAGTATGAAAGCTCGGAGGATGAATTTCAACGTCTTGGTGCAGTTCAACTGTCAGCTATTGTCCACGCCACACACAGCCAACCTCTATGTCGCTATTGAAGCATAGCTTGATTTTGCTGAGTTTTTTATGGACAGCCTTCTTTCACACCCTTAGCCTTTAGATTGCATATGCAGCTATATGTTGTTTGGAGTACTAAAAGCATAAAGACTTATGCGACTGGCATGCTCTCGTGAAGACGTGGCAACATGCAACATAATTTTAAAAAAGGCTAATGGAAAGCTCGTTTAAAATTTCATTGAGACAACACAGAGTTTTCAGCACTGGGCAGAGGGAGAGATGGGACTGCTAAGTGCACCATAGATGTGAAAGTCAAATTGCACTTGTGGGCTCTGTAGCAGCGGGATTGTGTAGTTGAAGTGTTAGTCTCATCTTTTCGTCTAATGCTTCTAAACTGAGATTTCTGCCAATGTTTCAAGAACTGCTATATGCTGAAATATTTCGTTAGAGGTGTATTCCCCAGCTATGTGTGAATTTGGCTTTTTTTTTTCTCAAGCATTTGTTGCTGGATGCGCATTGCTTTGGTGATTTTATCAGTACAACCTACATAATTCCTAAATTTTTTGGATTCATGCATTTACTGATGCTTTCCCCTGGTATGAAATACTGTTTAGCATTTTGAACTCGGTTCGGTAGAGGAAGTGGTTCAAAATGCGAGAAAATTCACTTGTATCTTGTGGTGCTAAGCACATTGCCTTGCCTGTTTTGGTCTGTCTCATGGTTATCTTTTTATGATTTGTTGTTGTACACTTGTGTTGCAAGCTTAGTGCCAGTGGCGCCACTTCTGGATTGCGGATTTCGTGAAATAGTTGTTGCCTTAGTGCCGCCCTGGTCTGCAATTCCTTATTTTGATGGTGGGAAATGTTCCTTTAGTTATGTTAGTTTCCACGTGTTGCCTGCTTGTGTTTTCTAATGCGACGATGTGTTTCAAGCCCTTCAAACCTCATTATATCAAAGATCACCTGTATCTATATGTGTGTACAGTTGGACAAGAAATTATTTGAACCAGGCAAGTGCAAGCTCTCAAAAAGCACATACATCATGCTTGAGCTTGTGTGTTCCATGTCATTTCACAACTGACTGTACAAAAAAGCCCTATTATCTTTTATTTCACTGCACGCATAGAGTTTTATATAATAATACCTGAAGGGTAATCTGGTGCTAGTGTTTACACGGGCTCCTTTAGCGGCACTTGTACCCCCATGGGAATTAGAGAAAGTACAGGCTTCGGATCTGCTTTGGATTGATCACATTCTTGAGATTCGCCATGCTGATTGATTGATTTGTGGGGTTTAACGTCCCAAAACCACCATTTGATTATGAGAGACGCCGTAGTGGAGGACTCCGGAAATTTTGACCACCTGGGGTTCTTTAACGTGCACCCAAATCTGAGTACACGGGCCTACAACATTTCCGCCTCCATCGGAAATGCAGCCGCCACAGCCGGGAATCGAACCCGCGACCTGCGGGTCAGCAGCCGAGTACCTTAGCCACTAGACCACCGTGGCGGGGCGAGATTCGCCATGCTTGTTTCCTAAACGTAAAACGTAGTGCTATAAAGTTATATCTGATTGAAACTTGCTTCATTTTCTCGTACTCAAACTTTATTGGAAAAAGTTTTTTTGACCAGGCGGTAAAAGAGAAACGTGGGCATATATACCAGGGTATGTATTGCTCTGCCATTGCGTTCCACATTTGGCATCACGATATAATCAATTATTTGTTATAACACTTCAAAACAAACATGCTTGTTTTGCCCTTGAAAGTACACATTATCTATTTATGGAAAGAACAGTACAGTACAGTACTAAGTGAGAAACACTTATGGTTTCGCCTGCTGCTGTGCCAGGTGCATCTGTCTAAGTGGTCTGTTTCCAACGCACCTCTCGTTTTGTTGTGAAGTCGAGTCAGAGGAATGTGACGGTGTATCTATTTAACTTCGCAGCCATTTTACAGTAAGTTTGAATGAGTTTTGGCTAGGCACGCTTAATAAAACGTGAATTTTATGCAATTTCCTGCATTGGCATAAGACACTACATCTTTGTGCAGCGGTAAGTGGACGACACTTTGCTTTGAGTGTCAAATACAACCTGTAAAGCTCTATTGTCGTAGCAAGAGACCTAGCGGTCTTCAGCCTCTTTGAATGGCAAAAGCACTGCTTCAGTGCTTTGCACCACACCCCACTCACGCCGCACGAAGAACGAAACTGAAACTGTAGAAAAATATCCGTAGACAGTCCGCTAGGTGACGCAATCTAATCCGAAGCCTGTACTTCCCACAGTTCCCATGGGGGTACACGATCGCAGCGCTAAATTCCTCTCTAGGTACTGTTGTATACACGCATTAATACTTACGGCTTCTTTGCTTATCAAGTGAATGTGTGGCCGACCAAGCAGTTTTTGCTGGTTTGCTTCAAGAGTCTCCATTTTCAGGAACTGAGTGAATTTTGGAACTTGGAACAGCAATTGTTGCATTGGTATGCACAACAGAGTTAGTATGAACAGCAAGTTATGGTAGCACACCCATTTTTTTAAATGGCTGATGTTTCTCAACATTGCAGTGTTTCATGCGTCATCTGTGCCAGAGTATTGGCATATGACCACATTTTTCAATCCTCGAGGAATTCTGTTGTGGAGAAGTACTCACTCCACCACTTAACCTGACCAGTGTCCAACCCTTTGAGATGCTTTGTACACATTTGTGTGCACAACTTATTCTCTCTAGTTTTGTTGAATAGTAGCCAAGAGAAACCAAGGTAATTGAGACATGAATGAATTTAACTTCCTGCACAATTAGTGTGTCTTCAGTTACCTTATTTCATAAAGTACTATCGCATATGGTCACATTGCTAAAAGCACTGCCATGTTCATTCGACATGCTGCTTTCAATGAGCCATATGGAAAGTAAAATTTTTCATTGGTCGAAATGAACAATACGGAAAACAAAAGCGCACTATAATTATACCCAAAGATCTGACTCTATTTATGCGAAAACAAAGTGAATGTCTTAAGGGGAAATAAATATAATTGCAATATAGTTAAAGTTAGTAAATGAATGTATTATGATAAATATTATATAAATCATTGTATTATATCATTATTTTTGTTGCCGTAGTATATTGAGGGTATTGGAATGAGGTTGTTGAACTTTCGTGCATTTACAGACAGTCGTTAACCTTTTGCACTTCCGTAACCTTTACCCACCCTCTGCCTGTTTTGGTCCGAAACTAAAAAAGAATGGAAGTGGTGTAAAAAAAGCTTACTTACTACTTTGAAGATGGCACATAATGCTTTGAGGAAACATACACATGAATCAACCGCGAAAGAACTTGTTGAGCTGTGCCCAACCGTGCACCTCTGTGGCCATGTTCTGAATTGTTTGGAGGGGCCCCAGCAACAGACCACAAAGTATCTATAAGTCACGTCTGAAAGGGCTAACCAAGTGCCTCACGCTTAAAACTCTGGACTAATGGTCAGCGAGCCAGCAACATTCTTCAGTAGCTTGCACATATTGGCAGTGCGCAATCCCCAAAAGATGACCGAATAAGGTACTACAAAGAAATCGGAAGAAAGTTAAAGTGTGTCACATTAAACTTGTTAACCGCACGCTTAACTGCAAAACTGAAATGTCTATGAGAAGGGTGCAGGAAGAAGGTATAAGCTTGTATATACTAGCTACTGTCACCCATTTTCTTCATATTCCTGTTTGCTGAAGTTTCACCACTTTCCACTGCACAGATTCTCTCACCGTGCATCGCCGTCGTGGCCGACCGTCATTTGCAAGCATTCACGGCAGAGAACGTCTCTGGAAATGCCCCATGTGCGACTACGCCACACCTTATGCCTATGCCATAAAGAACCACCAAAGAACACACACGGGCGAGCGCCCGTACAAATGTGACCAATGTGACAAGGCCTTCAGGCACAAGCACCACCTCGTCGAGCATGTCCGTGCCCACACCGGCGAGAAACCCTTCCAGTGCCCGATTTGTCCCATGAAGTTTGTGCGGAACGGCAGCCTCAAGGTCCATATTGCATACTCACGGGAAGTAGGAAACTTCTTGACAGGTGGCGTTGCAAGTAAACTGCGACAGAACTGTTACTGCTCGGTCTGCTTTTGTGTCTTTCGAGCTTTCAGAAGTGAAATCTTTATTTTACTCTTCACAAAGTGTCGAGTGGACACACAGGTGAAAGCCACGTGCTGAGGCTTGAGAAAAAACTCCATGGCACCCACATAACAGTGTGGCAAGATAACAGCATAGTTTTGACAGTGCACAGAAACATTGAAACACATTCTTGATTTTGCAAGTTTACAGAGTAAAAATGCATATCGTAGGGATCAGCACAAACTGAGAACTACCGTAATATATACACAGAAAAGAGCAGTCTTACTGCGTTTTTTCAACATTTCTCACTAAAATATTGTGATTCAACATAAGCAATAACAAAATGTTCAAAAACAGGAAGAAGCACCATACCTTGATGCAGTAGTGCTAAAACACTGACTTATTTTCCTTATTTCTCCCGGTGACATGTCATTTTTTGAAAGTGTGTTGAGGTAACGGAAGGTTATAGGTGTTTGATTGCATCCGATACGTAGTACGACCAAACAATGTAGACCAAGCTGACCCTGCATTGGAGGATTGGTGCCAGGTAGCCCGATCTCGATGCTTGTCATGCAAAATAAAGGTCTGAGAGACACGTTATGTGTGCTATTCTATGCAGCCAAGTATCGGAAGAAGCAAGAGGCTAGTGTGCTTGAAGTATGGTAGTGAAGTGTACTACTGAACCTTTAAAATGAATTAGTGATAGGACGGGCATGACACCTGGACAAGTGCAAACAGGATGCCTTGTCTCCTGATGCGTGTAATGTGTGTAGAAACTTATATGCCTGCAATTTGCTTAGTGTGTATCGTGTAATTGAGATAGCGTGTTCTTGTACCGATGTTGTTTATACAGATCCCAAGGTTGCACATAATAAAGTGCTCTGCAAAGTACTGATTTGCTGACATTTATGATCGCCACATTACATCCCTCTGAGAACGAGTCAATTCATCTTTGTTTTTTGCTTCAGAGGCTAATGCACATTGTTCTTGAGTCGTACCTTCTCGGTGTAAATAACTGGCTTTCTTTTAGGGGCGAAGCTCCTTACGGCACGGGTCTGTCCATCTCTTGTACTTATGTATGTATGTACGTAGCCACCCACTGGTGACACATGCCCGTCCTGGTATGTGCCACAGGGTTTGCGAGATTGGAGATGGCGGTACTTGGAGTGTTCACTAGATGAATGCACAGACAGACGAACTAGCAGACGGATGGATGCACGCACAAACGGATGGACAGATGGATGAACGGACTCGTGGACAGATGCATGGATTGACTTGTGGATGGTCACGCGGACGGATGGAAGCACGGACAGGCTGACGGACGCTTCGCCCCACTCGTCATCATTCACTCTGTGGATATGCTGTGATTTTTTTTTTCTGGGGCTGAGGCTTAGTGTTCTCTGATTCATTTGCTGTCACTATCAGCTTAAAAGTTTCCTTTAAGAGAGACTGCTCACATTGTTATTCACTTACCTTACTTCTGCACAAATGCCTTGCTTGTAATATTTTGTATTTATGTACATTAAACAACACATACCACAGACATGAGGTCTATGCAGAGTGTATAAAATACAACATCAGGCCACAAAAAGTAAAACAATGCAACTTTAAACGTGCTATCATAAAACTACAACTCGCAACATTAAATCAGAGCCTGGTTAAATGCACAAGACTTTGATATAGACAAATTCCACTGGACTTACGTCACGAAAATGCAGTGGCGCTGTCTTGGTAGGCGAAAGACGCTCTGCCTACCGCAGTTTCTTCAAGGTTTTTAATTGTGCATGTGGTGTTCTCAGTCGAGCAACGAGGAAAAAAAAATGGTATGCCGGCGAGCTGCGTCGCGGTTGGATGTGAGTCGCATCTCGCTACTTGGTTTTGTTGGTTGGCGCACATCACTTGCCTAAGCACTTGTGGCTTTCACAACGCTTATGGCGTCTCACAACGTTGTTTTGTTGGCACACATCGCAGCCCTTGGCGCTTATGGCGGAAGCTACGTGCGGACGTCATTATAATTTTACCCACAATGTCGACATCGGCGTACCTGTGTTTACAAACATGGAATGGGTCTATATTGACTGCTGCACAGAAAGCCTGGGTTCGATTCCAGCTCGAATCATGGGCATTCCGCGTGGCAGTCAGTACCATTGCACTGCTGCTCGAAACTGCTTCTGAAAAATCTCTGTGCAGGTGTCGTGCAGTGGAAGAAGTTGCTTTGACTCGTGTAATATATTGCATGGTAGAAGTGTAGAATTGTGCAACGTGTCGTAGCACGTGAATTGCGCAATGAGGTTGTGATTTAAAAGCCTGCTCGTTGCCCACAAAATGCTGGGGCATAATTAGTTGCAATCAGCAACTGTGTGCAGCTGTGTAGGTGCAGGCATTATCACCTTACAAACTTATGGTGGGAGTCTTGTTAATTTGCAAAATGTTGAATTATGGCACGGTCTGTGCTTCACAAGTGTAGCTGTAGTAAGCATGCATATAATTCTGGGAGAGCTTAGGACGGCTGATGTTATGCATACATACATTCATTTCTCTGCAGCGTCGTAGAAGTGTTGTTAAGAAGCAAAAATGGGCAAGAACACGAGAAGACAATGGCCTGGTAGCGCTATCACATGTTACTGTTGAAGAAAAACCTCGAACGTTCTCCACTTTTTTAAAATCTTGTGTCCGAGCAACCCGCGTGCCCATTTATATATCATTTCCGTGACGGTTATGAAGTTCGTCAAATGGTGGGCGGTGGCATAATACACTTCTGCGTTGGTTACCGCACTGCCACAAAAGACACTTGCAACGTCCGGGAAAAGAAAAGGTCACACCATCGCTCAATCAACGTGCCACTCTAGTGCTACCTTCCCCGGCGCATAATTCTCTTTCCACCTTCAGGTGCCCACCTTCTTGGATGCTGGCTCTTGCTTGCCAGAGCCAGCATCGAAGAAGGACTAGCCTAAACTGCCACACTTCTGGCTTGCCATTCACCTTGCACAAGTGCATGCCATTATTGATGGCTGGGCGCTTGTTTGTTGAAAAAAGTGTAGCATGAAGCTGGACAGGCACAGCTGAGTGCCCTTCCCTGTTTTTTTTTTTCTTACTTATCTGTTTCTTTATATCCTTATTTCTCACTTCCTCTTTCTTCAACATCATTTTCTTTCACTCTCTTTTCTCATATTGTCTTGAATGAATGAACAACTTTATTTATCCCTTGTTAAAGGGAAGGGGGCAACAGGAAAGGGTGTGGTGGGGATGAACTACTTGAAGTAGTCCTCCTCTACCCTCTCAGCCCACTCCAGGATGGCCTCCTGGATAGCGGGCCTCGAGCTGCGCAAGGCAGCCTCCCACTGCTCCTCACTAGAAATTAGGCGTTTCAGGAATGGGGGAAGAGGGTGCTTAGGGCAGCGCCACATGATGTGGTTCAAGTCTGCTGTGGAGGAGGCACAAAATTTACATGAGGGGGAAGGATAACAGGATGGATGAATGCGGTGTAGGAGGTAAGGCGAAAGAAAGGTGCGAGTCTGCAGCTGTCGCCACAGAATTTCGCACCTGCGTGAAGATTTGCGCGTGAGTGGCGGGAAGGTTAATCGCTCTAAACGGTAGTGTGTGCAAATATCGTGGAATGAAATAAGGCGATCCCGCGCTGTAAATGGCGCCTCATTCGTAGCGAATTGCGACACATCGGATGCGTGTGCCCGGACTGTGAATCCTCGGGCACTCGCATGAGCCGCCTCGTTTCCGGCAAGGCCCGCATGCGCGGGAGTCCAGATTACTTGCTACAAGTCGATCAAGGGGATGATGCAAAAGTAGGGAAAGGGCTGGCTTAGAAACCCTGCCCGCTCCGAAATTATATATAGCTGTTTTGGAGTCACTGATTATAACGGATGAACTAGGTATTGTCAGGGCCAGGGCTATGGCCGCCTCTTCCGCTTCCTCCGAAGAAGAAGCAAGAACGGAGGCGGCCGCAGCGACCTGGCCGTGAGAGTTGATTACCGATATTGCATAATGATGCCTGTTTCCGTAATCGGCGGCGTCAACATAGAGCACATCATTGGAGGAGGAGAATTGTTTTTTGAGGGCCCTCGCGCGCTGCGTCCTGCGCTGTTTCTGGTGCTCAGGGTGCATGTTTTTTGGAAGTGGTGGAATGTATAGGTTCTCGTGTATGTGGTGTGGAATGGTGTACTTGACCTTAGTGATGGATGCCGGAGTGACAGAAAGGGTTTGTAGAATGTGTCGGCCTGTCACGGTGTTAGAAAGTCTGTTATACTGAGATGCAATATGGGCTTCTCCTAGTTCAGCAAGGGTGTTGAAGGTGCCAGTACGCATAAGCCTTTCAGTGGAGGTCCGTATAGGCACCCCTAAAGCGAACTTATACGCTTTGCGTAAAAGGATGTCTATCTGGTCGGATTCTGATTTAAGAAAGTGTAGGTAAGGCGTTGTAAAAGTTATTTTACTGATAACGAAGGCTTGGACCAAGCGGAGGAGTTCGGCCTCCTTTAGTCCGCCATGTTTATTACTGACCCGACCCAAAAGTCGCAAGGTATGATCAACGGTGGTGTGAAGTGTCTTTAGTGTGTATGTGTTGAGCCGATTGCTTTGAATGTGTAAACCGAGCACGCGGATCCTATCCACTCGAGTAACTGGTACGTCATCTAGAATTACCTGTATATTGGATATGTGTTTTTCGCCCCCTCTGTGAGATGGTAGGAGAAGTAGCTGAGATTTCTGTGGGGAACATGAAAGATTCATAGACCCTGTAAGTGCCACAACCGTATTTGCCGCAGCTTGCAGGGTGTCTTGAATCTCTCCATCGGAGCCGCCAGTCATCCAAAGAGTGATGTCGTCGGCGTAGAGTGAAAACTTGAGGTCAGGGATAGATCTCAATGCTTGCGCCAACGGCATCATAGAGACATTAAAAAGAAACGGTGACAGCACAGACCCTTGGGGCGTGCCGTAACTTCCCAAAGCGTAAGACTGAGATTGATCTGCGCCTATGTGTATGGTTGCGGTACGGTTGGCTAAAAAAGTAGCTATATAGTTATATGTCTTTGCGCCAACCCCTATGAGATTAAGCTCGCGGAGGATGGCGGAATGAGCAACGTTGTTGAAAGCTCCATGGATGTCCAGACTCAAGATTGCTTGCGTATCTAGGCTGCTGTTGGGTGTAATGATATCATGCTTCAGTCGAAGCATGACATCTTGACATGACAGAGATTTTCGAAAACCCACCATTTCTGGTGGATAAACATTGTTGTCTTCCATGTATTTATTCAGACGGTTGAGTATAACGTGTTCAAGCGTTTTACCAAGACAAGAAGTTAGTGAAATAGGCCTGAGATTGGAAGTGTTCACTGGTTTGTTTTGCTTTGGAATGAAAATTACCCTGGCATCCTTCCAGGAACTTGGAAGGGTGCCAGTGTCAAAGCAGTGATTGAAATAATCTGTGATTGCCGTGACGGAGTTGTCGTCCAGATTGCGAAGTACTTTGTTGTTAATGTGGTCTGGGCCTGGTGCTGACGTTGTGCGCAGAGTGGCCATAGCATGCCGAACCTCTGCTTCCGTGATAGCGGCGCTCAATAACTCGTTGGGCTTTCCAGTGTACTTTGGTGTGTTATACTTCTGAGCAGGAGGCAGATGTTTATCGCGGAGGTCGTCGAAGAGTCCGTTTAGATCGTTTTTGTGAGCATATACAAGTTTCTTTATGCTCTGGTTTTGATGTGTGCGTGATGTGGTAGGGTCTAAGAGGTGGCGCAGTAGTTGCCATGTGCGTTTGCTGTCAAGGTTTCCTTGCATGCTGTCACACACCTGGCCCCATTGCTGGCAGGCCAGTTGTGTGGCGTACTCCTGGATCTGCAGGTCAAGCTTGGCTATTCGGAGTTTTAGCTTTCGGTTGTGCCGTCCTTTTTTCCATCTCTTCAAGAGAGACTGTTTGGCTTCCCACATATGTAAAAGCTTGGCATCAACCGTGGTGAGGGGGGTTTCGGGGGGCAAAGTTGTAGTATGCACCCCAGCATCTGAGTGAAGTTGCTTCACCCATTCTGAGATGTCTTGGATGTTTCTGGGAGCTGATATCTGGCGGGCCTCTCGAAATTTGTCCCAATTGGTGTGACTGATTGGCTTAGGTGCGAAGGGTTTGTGCTTGAAATGTACTGTAGTAGTAATGATGTAGTGATCACTACCGAGATTAACTTGCAAGTTGCTCCATGTAACGTGCTGAATTCTGCGTGTAAGGGTAAGATCGGGAGAGGTATCTCTCGATACGCTGTTTCCTAGCCTGGTTGGTGCATCGACGTCATTATGTAGCGTGAGTCTGTGGTCTTGTATGTGTATCCACAGGGCTCTGCCCTTAGGAGTAGAAACAGTGTGACCCCACAACGGGTTGGGTGCATTGAAATCACCAAGAATTAAAAGGGGATGGTCTTTGGCAGCGGAAATGGCTTGAGTAAAAAGGGAGTCAAAGCGGTGATGTTTGTCTCGAGGGCGGCTGTAGACATTCAGAAGGTAAAGAGCAGATGTGTTATTCTTATGAGGAATAATCTCCAAAAAATCATGCTCTATATCGACGCCGTCGAAGTGGGAGTGATTTGCAGTGAGGTGTTTTTGAGTAAGAATTGCCGTATCAGGCCGGGACAGCTTTTTAGTTTGGTGGACATTATAACCTGGGAAGCTGACTGGCCCGTGAGTTTCTTGGAGGGCAATGACTTCGGGTAGATTAGAACGAGAGGCAAGGAACTGTTGCAGATGTGCTTTCTTTTTTCGGAACCCCCTACAGTTCCATTGCCAAACCTGAAGCTCGGAGCGAGTCGGGTTATTGGCCATTGTTAAGCGAAGCTGGTGCTGAGGTGGAAAGTGGTGCTATGCTAGGATTATTGGCACTAACTTCAGCTATCCAACTTGTAGTTTGTTGGATATGAGCTTGCACAAGGTCCATAAATTTGGCGAGTGCTTCATGTTTGGCTGCGTAATCTGCACTGAGTTTTTCAACTGCGGTGAGTATATTATGAAATTTAGTTTCTAATGCGGTTATTCTGTCATTATAATTTAAAACTGTCTCCTCCAGGGATTCTTCTGATCGTGGAGTGCTCGGAGTTTTACGTTTGCTGGGGGGAGGGAGAAGTGGTTCGCGTTGAGCACAGGGGCTAGTGTCCATGGGCAAATGTGCAGAGGGTTCAGGTGGGGCTGATGAATGGCACATGGAAGAGGCGGAATGAGAGGGAGGGGCTTGGGTGGTTGATGCGGAAGGAGGACGAGAATCAATTTGAGTGGTAGTAGCGGATAAGTGAAAAGACTCGAGTTGTAATTTAAGCCTCTGAATTTCAGCTTTTAGGGTTGCATTTTCTTTAAAGAGGGTGGAGTCGTTGTTACTGGTGTGATTTGAGGAGCAGCTAGAAGAGGCTGACTTAGCCCAGCCTACCTGGTGTGAGTTGACCGAAGAGTTGTTGAGAGCAGGGCTTGGTGATAGGCCTGGCCAGGCGTCGTCTTGCGTCGTTGAATCGGAGCGACGACCGCGATCTTTACTTTTGCTGGCACTGGAGCGTCGCCCGCGTTCCTTGCTTTTGCTTCGACTTTTCCGCCCGCGTTCCTTGCTTTTGCTTCGACTTTTCCGCTGGCTTGAACCGTGAGTTTGTTCGCGACTAGGAGATCGGTGGATGGGTGGGTCTTGCTTTTCCATGGACCGTGTAGGGCGCGGCTTAAATCGTTGTCTACACAGCGATGAACCTGTTTCATGGTTTCCATTGCACACAACACAAACATGGTCACACTCGTGGTCCATAGGTGCATCTTTTAGTCCACATTTGGGACAAAGTGTGTCACTGGTGTTGGTGCAGACGTCTTGGCGATGACCAATCTGACGGCACCGTGTGCAGGCTTCAACCTTTTGCCTGAAGGGACGACATCGAAGTGCACAGCCGTCGTAGTGGACGTAGTAAGGAACGATTTTGCCTTGGAATATGATTAGAATGGTTTCAGTGCTGCCCAGGCGTCGTGCACCTCCGATAGTCAGCTTTGGGTTGCATCGGCGGAGGGTCGAGATGATTTCGTCTTCCGAGTAATCGGAAGGCAGGAGAACGGTTCCTCTGCAGGTATCGACGGGATCAGCGACATGGGTGGCGACTTCATGAGGGGTGCCGTTGAAGTTCAAGAGCCGTATGCCATGGTAGAGGTCGGCACGATCCAGGTCTGGTGTGCTAATCAGAACGGTATGGTTGATGGAGTTGACGCGTATTTGGTCAGAACTGGTGCGGTCAGAGATTGGGAGACCCGCCGCCTTGAGGATTATTTGTCTGAGGACGCATGGATGTATCACAGCACAGTTTAAACCTCCACGGACTCTTAATATGATTTTGTAATCACTGCGCGGCAGTGGTGGGGGCTTCGGTGCTGCTCTTGATTGGCGCTCCTGAGCCACTGCATGGCTTGGTGGTGACGAAGGATGCTGGCGTTGTCTTGAGAGGCTCTCGTGGATCGCGCGCCAGGAACGCGCACCATCGACGCCGGCTGCGTCGCGCCCTGTTCCAGCGCTCATGCTAGGGAGAGGTAGGCCTAGCAGCGATACTGCTAGCCGACAGCCCTAAAAGGGCTGCGGCTTGCGTAAAAAACGTCTTAGTATTGAAAAAGTATCACAGGAAGCGTCGGTAACACTCACATATAGGTCCAGTCAAGTATTCGGGGCGTTTGGAGTGATCAGTTGGCCACAAGAGGAAAATTTGCAGGAGCCAAAGTCACATGCGACCGCTCACCTCCGCGCGCGTCCCGCGTCCAGGAACGCCTCATATTGTCTTGCTCCCTATTTGCCCCTTCACACTGCGTCTGTGTTTCTATTGTTCCTTATTTCTCTTCCTCTATCCGTACTAGTTCTCTCGCCCAACCGACTTATTGCATCCCATGCCGGACAAACCGGGCGGGAGAGCGCGCGCACCTGTTCGGGTGTGTGTTCGGAGATCGAAAAAATGAACGACAGTGATTGATTGATTGATATGTGGGGTTTAACGTCCCAAAACCACTATATGATTATGAGAGACGCCGTAGTGGAGGGCTCCGGAAATTTAGACCACCTGGGGTTCTTTAACGTGCACCCAAATCTGAGCACACGGGCCTACAACATTTCCGCCTCCATCGGAAATGCAGCCGCCGCAGCCGGGATTCGAACCCGCGCCCTGCAGGTCAGCAGCCGAGTACCTTAGCCACTAGACCACCGCGGCGGGGCGACAGTGTTCTAAAAGGTTTCTGAAACGCCGTGAATGAACGGAGAGTGCGCGCAGTTCACGATGATGAGGGCACTGTACGATTCACGCGAACAGCTCCGCGGTGAAATCTCTAGCGTCGATTACAAAGGTTCGAGCAATTGAAGGTAAGCTACATGACATGTGTGCTACGCATGATGGCACGCCATACATGTGTCCCGTGCACAAGCGTAGAATGTTTATTTGACGAGTTTTTGGTATTTACTGTTATTTCAATTATTTTTTAGATGAAAGGGGGGGGGGAATCGGCAAGGTTCTTTTTGGCGTTGCATAAGTGGTGGCGGCCGCTGAAGTAAAGGCTGTTCTGTTGTTTTCTTTACAACATTATTTTTATGTGACGTTTTCGTTAAGACAGACCAGTGCGAACAATTTTTCGCACTTCACGCGATCGCACTTCGTTTTATTTTATTTTTTCTGACAGGCATCTAAGAAAGCCCCATCGTTACTAGCAGCAGCAAACGCATCGTTTCAAGAACAATGCATAAACAGAAAAGTACCGTATTGACTGATTGGAACAGTTCAATGCAGAGAAAGAACACTGATAACGTGCCGTATTTCGTGTTGTTTTGTGTTCAACGTATATCAAACTTGCTTTGTGTGTTCAAGTGTTACGGGAGTGAGTGAAAGGGCCGACTCGTCGACATGTCCACTCGGACGACGGTATCCTTTTGAAGAACATCTTTGAATTGTAGAGCAGTGCATCGAATGTGCACTTTTATGATTAGTCTACTGCGGGCGGGGATATTCGTTATTCAGTGGCTGCAATTTTGAGGTGGTCACCTGTCCAGAGGTGTTCGTTGCTGTCGGCAGCTACTTCGTTTGCAGAACAAGTGAAATGCTTCGCACTCGGCTGCAAAACGCAGTGAGTCGCTTTTTATGACTGCTGCGTTGCGAAAGCTTGCATTTAAGTCCGTGTTATCGAGTAAATTTAACGAATATTGCAGCTGTGCTTGCGGACTAGAATGTGTGCCGAAGTGAGGGTTTGCGTCCGTGGGGCCCGATGAATTTTTCGTCAACAAACGTTGAGATAACCTTCGCAGTGATTGTATGCAACGATAGACTCTGACGTTTGATTAGACCATACATCAAAGGAAAAAAATAGAGAGAGAGAGAGAGACGCGTTCTTACCGTATTTGCGCTGTCCTGCCGGTGCGATGTCATGCCGGCGAAGTGCCAGTGAGAATTCATCGAAGAATTCCTCGAGTTACAGAAATCAGCGTTTGCTGTTGACCCTGCTTTAGGTTGAGGAACAAAACATGTCTCATGTTTTTGCTTAGCACACGTCCATGAGATAGCGTCTGCGCCTTCGTAATCGGACCTACTCCTCAGATATCACCGTCATCCCTTTGTGGAGAGCAACTGCAGCCGTCTTTACCTAGCCACTTAATAGAGGAATCGTGAAATATCTCTCTTGCGCTGTAATACTTCATGAGCTGAAAAAGAACAAGTGCTACCGAACAAGTGCTCCATACTCAAGTTTCAGTCATTATAGTTGGTCAAGCCCTACAAATACTTGATCACTCTTCTTTTGCATTTACCTTTATTATGTACAGAAACTTTGGAAACATGTTATGGATGGTTAGAGTAAGGCTTTTTTACTGAGCAAGATTTTTAAGTCGCACTGGAGAATGAGAAAGAGAAATCTTGTTTTTTTTTTGCAATTTTCAAAAGAATGCGCATTAGATACTGCAGACAAAGAAACATGACACACAACGTACTTGATGTGGCCTATCTACGGCCATAGCACATGTTTAGGGGCTAGTTGGTGCATTCTTTCGGAAAAGGATTGTTAAGAAAACACATCCCACTATAGAAAAGGGAAATGTTTTATGCAGGTATCGTCGTCTTTTTCTATGGTGTGTTTTTCGCACAATTCTTCCTTTCCTATACAGTCTTCATCTATGTTGTTCAGTGGAAATTTCTCTGCTGTACAAACTCTCACATATTGCCAGCTTGACTGTCACCAATTATGCGTGTGATATATACAAAAGTTACCGATTAGGCGTGTTTATTTTGTAGACCTATGAATGGTCATTCTTGTTTGAAAGTGCCCTGCAACGGTTTTCGAGCATGTTCGGAAATTCTCAGTAGATGAGGCAGCTTTGTGCATGTCACTGAAACAATATAGCGCAGCATGGAGCGTGGATTTTTAACACTGTCGCTTTAAAAAGCTTGTTTTGCAGAAATAGTGGGGTCAGTGTCGTTGGTTGTGAGGGAAAAATTGGCATTGTTTGTGATGGAAAAATCAAGAAAGTGCAAATGAAATAAATAACTTGATTAAAAAAACAACAAAATGCCAGGCCTGCCCGGAATACGCAACACACTCACAGTGACAGCTGAAAGAGCGGCCTTTCAGAACCTTTTTTAAGCACTCTTTACTTCTGCAAGCACACTTGCAAGATATCCATATCACCATTTATCATTATTTTTATGTAGTAGGAAGGCATTTACTATGCCACCCTTTGTAATTCTTCTGAGAAGTGTGGTACCCGCTAGAGACTTGCAAGGAATTGTGTGCCATTTTTCGATGCTGTGGCTGACGACAATGAAGATTTATGCCTGAAGCTTTAGTAATGGGCTGGAGTATTTGACGACCCACTCGTTTTGCAATTTCCATTGCGTGATGCCTGGTTGTTCCTTTGCTGTTATAAAATGCTTTATTACTCATGCTAACGCGATTCCTTCCGACATCAAGCCTGCCTGGGGTCAATGAAGGCGCAGATTTGGGTTTGTTGGTATGGTAGCATAATAATATATGGTAGAGGAGACAAAGGACATGGACAAGAGTAGGCACATTCGAGACAACACGGCGCTAACTTTCAACAACAGTTTATTACACACAGATTCCCCTAGTGTATGTACTCCACCACGCCATACGTCACATATGCATAGCTCTCACAACCATGAATTATAACCAACGCGCATGCATCAACACATTACAACACTATATTTTTCCCATTTTTTTATTTTTCTTTCTCTTTTTCTCCTGTGCGTAACACAAAATGCTTATCACGAATGCATGTAATCAAGTTCCTTATTTGTCAACATTACTGATGGACTGCTCATATACATGTCACCAAGCACTGAAATTCTGCCAGCCTCCATTATCAATCGCATCATCTTGCTCCTACTTCTATTCATAATAACTGGTTCCTTGAATTTGGGTGTGCAATCACATCTCTGGCAATGAAGGGAAAGAAAACCGTCAGGAACAACACTATTTACTTTTTTATTGTGCTCGTACAAGCGATCATTTATGCGTCTACCGGTCTGTCCGATATAGGACTTTCCACAAGTAAGTGAAATCAGGTAGACAACACACATGATGCATTCAACAAATAGGTTTTTGCTTCTTTTGGCATACATTCGCTTTTCCCTTGTCTGGTCTTGTGCTTCTGCATAGACTTGCTAACTTATTGGGTGCTGAGAAAATTACGTTGGTGGCACATTTTTCCGCAATCTTTTTTATCCTGTGAGAGAACTTATGTATGTATGGAATGACGGCAAAATTTTCCTTTCTTGAGCTCACCCTATTCGTCTCTTCCCATCCTTTCTTCAGCGCTTTCCTGTGCAATCCTTCTGCAACTGACACGACGAGGCTCTTAGGGTACCCGGCATCGCTTAGCCTCGAGACCTGTTGCCTGAAGCTTTCATCCATGAGGTACTGGCAGGATTTATTTAGTGCCTCATTCAAGCACATATTCGCAATGCCTCGTTTTACAAGTATTGTATGCGCGGAGTGAAACTGTAGCAATGGCTTATTTGCTCTGGGTTCGTAACGCCACCATGTCTTTTCATGAGAGAATCGAAAGTTAATGTCTAGAAACCCGAGTCTTCTGTCACATGACATTTCAAAAGTCACTTCAAGTGGGTTAATACAGTCACGAAAAATGCTACAAACACTAGTACATTGAGTGGTAAAATCGGCAGTTCTGTCATCGAAAAAAACTAAAAAG